ATAGAGAGTTATTTGTATTTGATGTTTTGCGGGAAATTGATTATAATTAGGAAATGTTTTGAAGCATCGTGGTCGAGCGCTCAAACTTATGTTAATGCCGCTGCGCTGAGACCGACTTAGTGCCGATTGCGATAGAAAATAGCAGCTGGGTATTTCAGTTTCGGAAGAAAGCAACGAAGAAATACATACATAAATATTCAAAGTATGTAACTATTTTGTACGAAAATTTAACGAAGGAGTTTGTAAAATAAAATTAACAAATATCTACTTGTATCATGTTAATAATGACGAACAATTTACAATGCCGTGGGCGTTTTCTGAAACTAGGGGTGCGTTCAGAAATGCATCAAGCATCTGTATCATTTATATCTAAACTATAATGGATGGAAATATCTTATTTGCGCAACTAAGTTCCAATTAGGTTTTAAACAGTGGTTGCGCTTATTTGACATTTCCATCAATTATGGTTTAGAAATAAAAGAGACTGATGCTTTGGTTTTATGCATTTCTGAACGCAGCCTAGCAAACTTTAATTAACAAATATTGTATATGTATTGCATATAAAGATATTAATACGGATAGGATACACACACATACATATATTTTTGCAAAGGAATTTTCATAATGGACATAAGATTCAAAATCATGTTAATATACATACATATATGACATACTCATGTTCAGCGGCACAAATAACCAACAGAAAAAAGTTCGCTTTGACGCCAAACCAAGAATCATTTTCATTATTCGTTTTCTAGTTTGCTTTACTATTATTATTTTTTTCTGAAGTAATCGGATATCAAGTACGTAATGTATTTATCTGATGACCCATAAATTTTGCNCACTCACATAAAATAATGTGGGTGTAAATTTTTCAATAAAGCAATGTTCAAAAACAGCTTACATTTCTGTGATTTTATTCTTGTTGGAGCGTCTACTTATTCCTGCCTAGATCAGCTTATTTTTCAATAGTTTTCGTCAAGCTCAACTAACGATAGGTCCAAGAAACGTGCCGTTTCTACAGAGTCGGACAAAGAGCATAGAGCGGGCAAGTAAAGGGGTGGTTAGTGTAAAGCCAGATAGGAGAAATAGCCGTATACTTTCTCCAAGAACATACAACGATTGCTTCGATTTGCCGATCTAAACATCGTCTTAGTCTGGTGAGACCCAAGTAATTTCGGTACGTAGTAATGATTACATATTGTTAACTCAATATAGAAAGGTACTATCTAGTAATCAAGTCCTTTGTAAACGCTTATACAAAACAAGCTTTATGCTGCAGCAGTGATTTTTAAATTTCAATATGTTTTTAGTGAATAATTGGCAGACTTTTTGTACAATGCTGAATTTGAAAAGAAAATGAGATAGGACCTTCCTACATTAAGTATGCCCCCTTCATACCTTGTCGTTTAATATATTGCTTGGTTCTGAGTTTTTATAATGATTTTATTGCCGAAAAAGAATTGCGTGAAAACGGTTTACTGTAAAAAGTCGTCATCATATTGAACCATCTCTCGTCGATCCTTGTGGCTGCCCTTCTGGGACTTGTTTGCCGCTGTAAAAGAAAACGCAATCAAATTTTAATATTTGAATTCTGCATGCAGTAAGCGTTGCTACTACAATTCCAAACTACTTTAAAGGTATATGTGACAGGGAAAATTAAAAGGTTCTACGGGTCGAAAAATCTATTATTTTTATTTTCTTTCTAGCTGTATTCGCTTTTTCATAAATTTCCGCGAAAGATGGGCACATTGATAAAAAAACGTACTAATAAAATACACTTGTTAACATCCAAGTCGTTGTGGATAAAATATTTTCGAACCGTAGACCCCTTTTAATGTCCCTGTCACATATGTATGT